TATTATAAATATTTTCTTCCAATGATACTCTGCTAAGAATGTGGAAAAATAAGGAATCTTAACTATTTAAAATAAATACTTCAACTGATGGAACAGTTTCAGTTAATATAAAAAAATTCATCTGAAGTAAAAAACTAAAAGAACTCTAGACTTTCTGAAATGAGAAAAAAAAAGAATAAAAGCATTTAAAAACACGATTCACTTTTTTCTGTTACAAAGATCGAGAATAGTAGGATTTGGTTCTATTACACAGTAAAACTCAAATGCAGTTAAACATTATTTGAGAATGCATGCTAAAAATAAACAATTACTTTCTTGATTGTTCCATTATCTCTAGGAGGCTGCTAAACTCAAATGATGTCTGTATAATAATGCTACAAAGCAAATACAAGCACCTATCAGATAAATGGCCAGCTTGCCACAAGACACGTGTTACCTACCAACAGAGGCAAACTGTCAATTCCTCATTCTCAGTCATTTCTAAGTGCCCAAGTACCCTTCCATTCACAAACAACAAGATCCACTGAGACCAAATGAACTCCATTTACCTAAAGCCAAATGAATACACAGTAAGAGGTAATGGAAAAGGCCACTGGTCTGCGTCATCCATCCATTCATTCACTCACTCACTCCCTCCCTCCCTCCCTCCCTCACTCAGAACACAAGTACTTAATGAGCGCCTACAAGGCACCAAGTACTGCTCTAGGTGCTGGAGAGACAGTGTGAATAAGACAAACCAAGTCCTTGCTGTCACGGACTTATATTGCATTGGAGAGAGAGAGATTATAAATGAACAAACAAGTAAACATATAGCGTATCAGAAGTTGCTGAGTGCTGTGCAATAAATGAAGCAGGGTGAGAGGGGCAGGGAGTGCAGGACGCAGGTGAGAACGGGCCTCACCCAGAAGGTGATAGTTACACAGAGAATAAGCCATGTGGAGGCCTGAGGTAAGAATTTTCCGGGAAGGGAGAAAAGCAAGTTCAGCAGCCCTTAGGTAGAAGTGTGACTGGCATGCTGGAAGATGAGTAAGGAGCCAGTGTGACTGAAACCAGTGAATAGGGAAGACAGGAACAGAAGCTGAAGACAGCTAGCAGGAGGTCAGATCTAGTTCTAGAGGGTGCTATGAGGACACCAGCTTGGATCTGAGTGAGACAGGAAACTACTGGAGGATTTCAGGCAAAGAAGTGACTTTGTTTTATGTGGATACATTCTGACTCCAGCTTAAAAAAAAGGCTGTGGGGTGCCAGAGGTGGGGGCTAAGGAGGCAGGTGAGACAGGTAGGTGAGGATGGTGGCTCACACCAGGGTAACAGCACAGGAGGTCTGGAGTCAATTCTAGACACATTCTGATGGTAAAGACAACAGGACTTGAGAACAGTTTGATAATGTGTTTGATGCAGGGTTTGAGAGCTGATGCCACCAAGGTTTTTGACCAGGGTAACTTACAGGATGGAGCTGACTAAGAAGGGAAATGAGGACGAAGGCATGCCTCAGTGCAAGAGGCACAGCAGGGTGGAGACACCGTGAACAGGCCGCTGGGCACAGGGGTCAGAAAACTTAAAACCTGACTCCACTACGTATTAATTGTAGAAAATTGGAGAGTTTTCTCAAAAAGGTTATTGTCTATAAAATGGGAACAATAATACCACTGTGTTGATTAAATAAGTAGCATTATGACAAATACCTTAAACAGTATCCCTTCTCACAACCACACATTCCTTTAATAAATGCTGGAATTGCTATGAAGCATATGGCACTGAAAGGATACAATAATTAAATGGAAGTGCTGTTTCTGAGAAGCTTTTTCTCTAGAATAGGAGAGAAACAGGTATGTGAATAACTATGTAAGAAAGTGTTAGGTGCCAAGTGAGGTATCTGAAGAAATGTGTAGAGAGATGAGAGAGTTGAGGGGAAGCAGCTCAAACAAGAGATACTTCATCTGGGCCTTTCAGGCTGGGGAGGCTTGGACATGCAGATACGGTTGGAGGGGTGTTCCAAGCAGAGACTAGGATGAGCAGAAGTACCAAAGAAGACAGAAGCAGCAAGACAGGGACACACCGTGCAAGGCTTTGCAGGCCACTCACCAGCTTTTCAGTCTGAAGAAAACACTGCTTATTTCTGATAAATGTTATACCACACTGCTTTGTGAACATACATAAATTCAGGGGAAAGGCTCAGGTAGGGTGGGGAACAGACAAATCAAACCATAAATAGATTTACCCTTGGTAACTATGTCTATTTACCCTTGGTAACTTGAACTATTAGCAGCAGCTGGACAGAATGCTTCCTGAACCAAATGTAGGTCAAGGGCTTGGGAGACACTCCCACAGGATGGACCAGGATAAACGGAACACTAAGGTTTCAGGTGCAGTTGAATAATTTATATCAACCTTGTTTACAACACAGCTGCTGGGCACACTGGGAAGAGTGAGTACCCAGGGCAGCACGGGGCCTTCCACAACTCATTCCATAGAATACAAAAGATGGCCACCATCAGACTCTGGACTTGAATACAGCTTTTTGAAAAGGAGTGATTAAAAATGACAATCACGCTTATAGCTTTTAGACCAAATGGCCTATCACTTCTTATGCTTGAAAGAACTTTCATCGATACCAGCACCCAGCTCAGGCTCTAAGCACCTAGCAAAATGCACAGCACATGTTCGATAAACTTGGCTGAAAAAACACATATGACTAACCAGCAGTAAAACATTTACTAAACATCTGATACCACTTGGTTAGCTCTAAGATATAGTCTTGACTTGAATGCACAATTATTTCACATACGAGGGCTGTCCGGAAAGTATTCAGCCATTATTAATACAGTGAGAATGGTTACATGGCTGGATATTTTCCAGACAGCCCTTGTGTATCTTTTTCTGGTGTGTGCATTAAGCCATCATTTAGGCACCACAGAAATCAACATTTTCCAATCAGAACTCATTATCTTACTGCCGAAAAATCTATTCTTGCTTCCGTCTACAATTTATTTATTTACAAATGAGGCAAGGGATTCACATTTCTTTCTCTTTCCAAATGTCACAATACCATTTATTGAGGAATGGAGCCAGGCTTTCCCAAGTGATTTATAATCCTGTCATTATTACTCTGAATCTTCATTTCTTAGATCCATGCATGGGTCTGTTTCTAGGGCCTCTATCCTGGCTTCTTTGATTTGTCTATTCCTATGTCAGTCCCACAATATTTTAATGACTCCTGCTTTACAGACAATAGTATGTTTTTATATCAAATTCCTACTCTCAAGCATTTATTCATCTAGAGAAATTTTTGAGTCAATTATCTTATTTCCCTCAAAACTGCAATATTACCTGCATTATACTGAAAAATTAATGTGAGGAGAATTTTACATCTTTGCAATACTGAATTTTATTATCCAAATAACCAAGTTATTTCTCCAGTTACTGTTCTACGTACTACAGTAAGGTTTTATAGTTTTCTACACAGAGGTCCCTATACATATCTTTTCACACATATTTCTAGGTATTTCATAGTTTTTATTGCCTTTGGAAACTAAGATTCTTTGCCTATTATATTTCCAACTGGTTATACTGGTTATTGCTGACATAAAGGAAAGCTACTTAATTGTTTTATACTTCTCTGGTATTTTCTGAGGCTAACATGAGCGCTAACAACTTCAGTAGCTTTTCAATCTTTCTGCAAATACAAACTTCTATTAAGAGGCAAGTCCCTTTTATCTCATCAATCTTTTAATGTATCTTGAATCTAACAATTTATACATACACACACAATCTGTTTTTCCATACCTTGTGCAAGTAAAATTGTCCCATACGAAAGAAGTTTCACGTTAATTCCTCAG